AGGGGAGGAAATGACACAGGCGTATGAAGACCATAAAGTGTGACCTGCAGCAGCCTTCAGCTCTCCTGTGACATCCTCCTAGCTACCCCGTGCCTAACCCTAAGGAAGCCATACTCTTGAAACTTCAGCCTCTATCCTCCGTGCCCATGGCGCCTCCATCCAGATCCCAACTCTGCCAGATCACACTTATAGCTACCCCACACTAGGGGCTGACTCTGAGGGTCTCCCAGTCACTCTTCTGTTAGGGTGCCCTTCACTCCCCCAGTTTTGTTTTGTGGCCTCCCAACGCTCACTATCTCTGCCACCTTTCTGCATGTTCTCCTCAGAGGAACTCCTCCACTCTGAGCACCTGGGTCCCAGTGAATTGGAAGCTCCTGCTTCTGGGAGCAACAGTGAGGACAAGGGTGGCCTGCAGCCTCCAGATTCCAAGGATGGTGAGTGAACCCGAATTTAGATAAACCTGGGACAAACCCTCTTTCAAGTCCCCTTCCGCTTGGTAAGTTTTTTGTCTTCTTAATAGACTCCTGCTTTCTCACCCCCCGCCCCCTCAGATAGATAGAGAGACAAGCCCAGACTTTAGGGAACAGATCCCCTTTAATCCCATAAAGTCTGAGGGTGTCTGGGAGAGGATGAATGGAGAGGATGGAGAGGGATACCTAAAGTAGTGGAGGCCTTAGATCCTATGGGATCCTTGTCCTCCTTCTGGGTCCCTGGGACGGTGTTTTCCACCTTTCTCTGATGACACCTTCTTCTCTTCACTGTTCCATCTACCTTGACTCCTCTGGCTGCCAACAGACACCCCCATGACCCTTCCAAAAGGTGAGTGCCTCACACAGTACAGTCCAGTCACTAAATCCCACTGAATCCCCAAACTCAGAATGGAACAGGGTCCAGACATTGGGAACCCCAGACCGCTTGGGGTGGAGCCTGTTATGCTTTTTGACCCACTCCTCTGGACCTTAAAGAATGAGATAGGACTTGGGGGGTAGGGTCCACAGAGCAAGAAGCTTCATCCCCTGGGAAAGAGAAGATGTCCCCGCTGGAGCAGTATGAGCGAAAGGTAAGTTAGTCCGACCAGTGGGCTCCCGCCTGCGCTGCTGGGTGTGAGGGAGGAGGGTGCTGAGGGTTTGGACTTTTTGGCCTGAGGGAAGAGAGGGCTGAGGACATGGACTTTGGGATCCTAGGAAAGAAGAGGCCTGGGGAGGAAGAGGCCAGGACCCAGACTCCTGGGTCCCTGACACCTCCTGCTCCCCCAGGTGAATGCGTCTGTTCCAAGGGGTTTTCCTTTCCACTCAGCGGAGATTCAGAGAGATGAGCTGGTAAGAGGAGGAATATCCCAACTACCCAGGGGAAAGAAGTCATAGGTCAGTGGCTAGGTGAGCCTCAAAGATGTCCTCTGCCTCATTTCCTCTCCCTGCAGGCGCCAGCTGGGACAGGCGTGTCCCGTGAGGCTGTGTCTGGCCTACTGATCATGGGAGCAGGCGGGGGCTCCCTGATTGTCCTCTCCATGCTGCTCCTGAGGAGGAAGAAACCCTACGGAACTATCAGCCACGGGGTGGTGGAGGTGAGAGACACAAAGATGGGGTGTGGAGAAGAGGTCCAGAGCCTGGGTGTGGATGGGCTGTGAGATCTGTGGGCAGGTTCCCAGGGCCCACCCTCCCTCCCCTGCTGTCCACCTGTCACAGGTGGACCCCATGCTGACCCTGGAGGAGCAGCAGCTCCGGGAACTGCAACGGCATGGCTATGAGAACCCCACCTACCGCTTCCTGGAGGAACAACCCTGAACCAGTCCCCTTCACACCTTCAGCCGAGCCCAGACCTTCCCGCTCCCTGGAGCCCCAGAATCCCACTCCCAGCCTAGAGTAGGAGGGAGCCTTGAAAGTTCATTTCACACCCTTTGTGAGAGGGCTGGAAATTCTTATTTCCCCTTTCCAATCCCAAATTCCATCCCTAAGAAATCCCCATATGCCCAGCTCTTCCCCACATGGGGCCTCCTCCTCTTAATTTATTTTTAAGTTAATTTATTTCTCCTGAAGGTGACCACCACCTTGGTCCCAGTGTCTGTTGTTCCTGGAACTCACCCTCCCACGTTTTCCCCACTAACATCCCAATAAAATCCTCTTCCCCGCCAGTCCGTCCTGTGTCTCTCTAGGAGGATTAGTGCGTGGTCATAGCTGGATGCAGTGTCCGTCCCTATCCAGACCTCCTTCGCCTCTTTAAGCTGGAGGAGGGCACTTTCTATCTAGGCAGGGCCTGTGGGAAGGGCTGGTGCCGGCGATGGGGAGGAGGGGTGAGGCCCAAAGACCTTGGACAGGCTCTTGGCTTACCCAGGAGCTTTCTGCAGTGCTGAATAGGCTGTGACTTCTAGCTATCTGCCTGCTGGTTACCAGAGTGGACCCCAAGGAGTCTGGGCTCTGGCAAGCTTCTTCTGCTTTCTTTCAGCCTTACACACAGTCCCCAGTATCGACTCCAGTCTGTGGGAGCTCTATGAGGGACTGGAATCTTGAAACACCCATCCCATGCCCCACAGCCCTCACCCCTTCTTAAGGAGTCTGTAGGAATCCCCCTGGGGCATGGAAATTCACATTGTCCCAGAAGGGGATTTATGGTGTCTGCAAGTGTCTATTGGAATTTATACTCTCACATGTCCCATTTCGTGCATGTTGGAGTTAGCCCTCTACATATGCTGTTACCGGTCCCAAGAGGATTGTTATAAGGATTAAATTGGTTCATATTTGTGGAGATGTTAGAACCGTGCCTGCCATTATGGGGTGCTGAATGCATTTTTTTTAACATAATGGCAGCAAACTCTCATCTGGTGCTCACTGCTCTGAGGGCTTTAGATGCATTGGTAGGTACATTTAACCATTACTTCCATCCCATGGAGTGGCTACGATGACCATCCCTATCTATAGATTAGGAAACAGAGGCAGAGAGAAGTCACATCTCATGTCAAGGACACCATCTAGGAAGGGTCAGAGCTAGGAATTCAACACAGGAAGCCCAGCTCATGCCCATACTCATGGCCACTTTGCTAACCTGATGTCGAATTCTTCAAGGCTCATCCATATGGTGATCAGATTGTGCCCTGCAAAATTCCAGGTGCACTGTTCACTTAGACTGTGTATGTTTCCTTTTCTTACCACAACTTCCCAGCAGATGGCAGTAATGTGTCATGTTCTAATGTCAGCACATTCCAAGATTTCCTGACTTATGGCTTGAGGCGAGAGCACCTATTTGCAATTCTCCCAAAGGACCTATGAGTTAGCAGTGGTTCTTCATAATATATACATGTAAATACAGGTCATGTATACTAAATACACACCTGGTAGAGGTTGGAAGATGCCTTAACGATGCAAGTGAGACACAGTGCCACAGTTTCTTTCAAGAATTGTTCTGACAGTGGTTATACACTCAGATGAGCCCAGTGGAAATCTGTCACTCACACTATAGGCGGGGTAAAAGCTGCTTTGTGTTTTCACAACCAAGAGCGATCAACAGGCCAACAATAAACAAGGAGCTCCAAGCAGGTGAGGCAGGAAATGAAAGGTTATTTTGCTCAATATAGCCAGTGTGAGATTCCATAATAAAGTTTGCATTTTAAGGTCAAAACACAATTAATTTTAAAACTCTGATGTTAGTGAAATTCCAGCAGGGGAAACGACTTCGTTAATGCTCCTTTGACGCTCTTGTACCTCTAAGCCACTCTTCTCTTCCCACTGAAGATGATGTCAATTCTCCTTTTAATAATGCAAAGTTCCTCAGGGACATCCTATCAAGTCAGTGGCGCGTGTGTGTGCACGTGTGCACATGTGTCGATATATGCCTTAGTTTGGGCTGCTGTAACAGAATATCATAGACTTTGTGTGTTTATTTCTCACAAGTCCTAGAGGCTGGGAAGTCCAAGACAAGGTGCCAGCAGATCCAGTGTCTGATGAGGGAATTCTTACGGCCATCTTCTTGCTACATCCTCACTTGGCAGAGAGCAGAGAGGGGAAGCAAGTTCTCCCACATCTCTACTAAGAAGGACACTAATCTCATCACGAGGGCCCCTCCCTCATGGCCTAATTACCTCCCCAAAGCCCCACCTCCAATTACCACCCCGTTGGGGCTTGAGGTTTCAACGTATGAAGTTATCTTGGATTTCCAGTACACATGAGAGATCAAAGGAAGATAGCAGCACTGCCAGCTATGCAGCCTAGATTGCAGAATCGTTGTTTAAAGCCTTACGCTCTGGGGTGGAGACACTGGCTTAGGCCCTGACGTTTGTCAATAGACACTTGGTTTGCTGTTCCTGAGGGGTTCCAAGCAGGCAGAGGGAGTGGGGCCGTGAGGGATCGCTGAGTTCTGGGGTGGGGCGCTTCAGGTGGCTACATGGTGATGGAGGCCAGAGCAAAGGCCGTGGGGCAAGCATGAGATGGGGCATCGTGGAGGTCTCAGTCTAGGTTTCTCTAGAAGCAGACACGAAGGCAAGAATTTGAGGCCAGGTTTGAGTGGAAGGGATGGAACTTATTGGTGGGAGGAGGGAAGAGACACAAAAAGAAAGCAGCAATAAAGGGTGTTTTATTAAGCCTGAACTACTGAGGGTAACTGCAGTTTCCTCCTGTTGGGGACCTCTGGGAGCCTGTGTAGAACATGCACTTCCGAGTTTCCCCAACAGAGGTGAGGCACCTGGAGTGCGTACATTCCATCTTTTATCAGTCACTGGCTGCCAGTTGCTGGAGTGGGAAGTGGGCATGAGCTCCCTAGCTTCAGGGCTTGCCATGCCCATACACAGGACGGAGCAGCCCCAGTGGTCTGAGAATGCCCAAAGGCAAAGATTCAGGGGCTGGCATTGGCAGGTAGGCCCCCACGTGTCGGTAGGGTGAGGGTTCTGGGATACAAACTTGGCAAGCACAGTGGCCACTACATGCCCCATCCAGGAATGATCCCAACTTGACCCCTCAGCAGGGTATCACAGCCACTCCCCTGCACCCATGCCCCCAGAGATCAGACGACAGTTCTAGCCCAAATTGAGTTTAATGTGGAGTTTCAGAGATGCTCAGATTAGGGAGGACTCACTGGGAATGCTGAGGTCTAAAACAGGGCCCAGTTGAGTTCTGAATCAGAAGGCAGTAGGGCCTAAGGAACTCTAATCTAAGAGGGTCCTTACTATATCCCAGGGGTTAGGACCCAAAGGGTGTGGATCTTGGGGAGAGCTAGGGGACCATCTTAGGAGCCCTACTGGGATGGCCAAGTACCATGTAGGGGGATTTCATCTGGGTCTCTGGGTAGGAAGAGCTGAGTTAGGGGAAAGAACCCTGAAAAATCCCAGTAAGGAAAGGGTTAGGGGCCTGGGGTGTTTCACAGAAACAATCAAGGAGCCTCGATTTCACAGAAATCATCAAGAGGGCTCCTTGTGGGTGGGGGAGGGATATCACATCATCCCAAATATTGGGGACTGCTCACCCCCCGGCAGCCATTTTGGGGTTTTAATGTAAGACCCCAATGGCAGGGCATTCCATACATTATCATGGATTTGCAACATTCGCATACGCTGGCTGTCCCACAGGACGGTGGGGACTGGAAAATCAGTCCAGGTTCTGGGTTTGAGTCCTAAGAGGACAGGCCTGGGGGCGCCACACGGCTCCTCTTCAACAGCTGCCGGAGCTGTGGACAAGGCAACACAGAGTGAGGAGTTTAGGGGGTTGGAAGGAGAGGGGAGAAGGCACACCGTGTGGAGGCAGGGGTTAGACAGGAGAGACTGAGTGGGGTCAGCTGGATTTGAAGGTCAGAAATCCAGGGTCAAGATGTGGACTGAGGTCAAGGTCTGGGTTCACAAACTGAGAAAGGGTCAGGAACCAGAACTGGGATGAAGGGAAAGGTACTGCTGGTTGAAGGTTCCCACCTTGGGGTCAGCACTGAGGGGGGGTTGAGGGGGAGAGGCGAGGGGTCAGAAGTCACAGTTGAGGTCAGGACCCAAGGTTGGGGCAGAGGATCAGAGGTCACACTTGGGGATCAAAGGTCACACCCTAAAGTCAAGATTCAAGGCTGGGAGGACAGGTCAACTTTGAGGTCAGGGCAGGGACAGAGGTGAGAGGAGTCCCCACTCTGGGGCAAGGGATCAAACACGGAGGTCAGAGGTCTCAGTTTGAAGTCAGGATCGGATAAGGGTTGCGGTCATCTTCCAGGGTCAGAAGTCACCCTCTGAAGCTGGAACGGGGGTGGGGGGCAGGATTGGGTATGGGGCCACCCTGTTAGCTCAGAGGCCATTCTGCAGTCAGGCTCAGTGCTCACCCCTTCAGGGCCCGGCCCGGGCCGCAGCAGGTGGACAGGCTGCTCATTCTCCAGGTTGCGCAGTGTTGGGTCCGCCCCAGCTGCCAACAGGTGCCGCACGATGGCCTCCTGGGCTGGCCCAGGGGGCAGGGCAGCCGCCATGTGAAGGGCTGTGTTGCCATGGGCCTGGGGTAGGAAAGGAAGGGCTGCTCAGGACCCAGACTCGGCTGGCCTAGGTCCTGAAAACTGTGCTTCTGATTCTGCCACAGCCACACTGCACACGTCCCTGTGTTCATGTCGCACACATTCCCTGGCAATCTACATCTACCTTCTACACAGTTCCCTTCAGACCCCACACATTGTCCCCTCCGTGTCCACAGAACCCCCAACGTCCCTCCCACTGCCCCCTCTCTACCACATCTCACACAACCTGAACATCCCAGCCCAGGACTCACTTTCATGTTGACAAAGGCCCGCTGGTCTCCCCGTGGCAGCTCCAGCAGCAGCTGAACCAGGGTAGGATTGGCAGCCTGCACGGCCAAGTGCAGAACTGTCTTGTTGCTCTTGATCTCCTGTCAGGAGGAGAATGGCAGAGGTCAGACCACTCCTCACACCCAGGCCCCCACCCACGGAACCCAGGAACCCTTAGAGACCTTGCCCCTCCTTTGCAAGCCCCCCCAGGAGTGCCTCATTCACTTTAATGTGCTGTATCGTACATAGTATCAGTATCGTGTGTTAGGGGATATCATTCACGCCACACACCTCGTGGAAATGGACATTTTTTATAACATTTCTGCCCAAGTATCTGAGAAAGAAGCTCCTTTTCCAGCTCCTCAAAGGCGTTCTCTGGGCTAGCATCTGTCCTGGCTACCCCACATTGTATTTAACACATTAAAATGTATCCCGGCCAGGTGCAGTGGCTTATGCTTATCATTCCAGCACTTTGGGAGGGCAAAGCAGGAGAACTGCTTGAGCCCAGGAGTTCAAGCCCCGCCTAGGCAACGTAGCAAGACCTCGTCTCTATGAAAAATTAAAGAATTAGCCAGCTGTGGGAGCACTTGCCTATTGTCCCAGCTACTCAAGAGGCTAAGGTGTTAGGATCACCTGGTCCGAGGACTGAGGCTGCAGTAAGCCATGACCACACCACTGCATTCCAGCCTGGGTGACCCTGACTCAAAAAAAAAAAAAGCATCCTGTCCCACATGGACTGTAGCTTATCTACAAGGATAGCAGTGAGGCAGCATTCATCAGTGGACTACTGCAAAATTGCACTGCAATGCCAAGCTGTTTCCTTCATATTTGGGGAAAAATCAAAGACATTTTCTAAAATAAAGCTGTATAATGTGCCTTTAAAGAGTTTGTAATGAGCCGGGCCCGGTGGCTCAGCCTGTAATCCTGCGCCTTTGGGAGGCTGAGGTGAGTGGATTGCCTGAGCCCA